ACACGTTTAGGTTAGCAGTATTAATAGTACAGTTGTAGCACGAATGAGTCGGCTCGACCGGGGAAGGACCACGCTCTCACAGAATACCAGCGTAAAATAGCAGCTAAACACTGATGTGTTTCGTATGGTGAGTGTAGAGAACCGAAGACCTATTTTACTGAAAAAGAGGCATTCTATATTAGTCCTCACGGCTGACAACGCATCTGCATTTTAATTCGCAAACGAAGCAAAGATAGATGTAGATGTCTATGTCTCTATGGGCCACAGCAACCACTTACCATCAGGTGGACTGTGTGCTCGTTTGTCACCCCAATTTTACGAAAAAAAAAACATTTGCGTGGGTGTATGACGTTGATTCTATCACGTTAAAATTTAAATGCCATAAATTTAAGTAAGAGAAATTATCCATCCTTCATCTTTCGAGTGTTATAATAGGCGAATAGAGGAATTGCCAAAACAATCTGATGACTTCAACCTGTACTTTTACGATGTGGTAGGACGCCTTTCCTGCCTAGGAGTCCGTGTGGGTAGGTCTACCCTCTTAACTATTTCTGCCACAAAAAATGTAGTAGTGCTTGCACTGCTGTGTTCCGATCTGAGCGGTATAGAGTCACTCATACTGTCATAAACACTCATCCTGTTACCCAGAGAGGTAGGCAGAGACTGTGGACTTCCAATTGACACGATTCTGACACACCTCTCTCGCCTCCTCCACATCCATATACCTACGCATAGGTACTTGCTCGTCGGTTAAGGATTGTATTTGATTGTAAAATGATCCACTAAATTTTGTATGGGGTTAGAAAATCAATTGGGTTTAACATTTATGAAATTATATAAATCTAATTACAACAACACTTGAAGACTGGTTAATTCGAAACAATGGTTAGGTATCGCGCTAAAGTTCCATATCCATACTGTGTGTATTTATATTTCATTCACATAATTCCGCGTTGTGTGAAGCGTGAGGTTTCATTGACTAGGGCATTTTTTATGGCTTCCTTCAGAGTAGGCGACCTAGCGCACGAACAAATGCCCGCTTAATCAGATCAGAAGGTCAAGGACATAAGAATACGCATCGATAACGTCACAGCAGGGACTCTGAACACGTTATGTAATATAACGTAACAGTTGTTTTCTCTATTTATAGTTCTCATATTAAACTACGTTCATTATTTTGTGCTGGGAGAAAATATTTTTGAGATAATTGATAGAATCAGGCGTTACTTTGCGGAAATCCATTATAATGGGGTTGTTATAAATTAATTTGCTTAATTCCGCGTTAAGAAAGAAAATGATGTGTCCTGCCCAGTTTTAAGGGGACCTCCCACCCTCCCTCAATCGCGCGCACTATACCCATCGCCGTCAATCTCAGCACTACCATCCCCAGCTCCACCATCCCCAGCACCACCACACTAGGCACGACACACCACTCTCGAAAATACGACACGTGTGCGGAGGCTGTGGGGTGCTGGGGATGGTAGTGTTGGGATTGACGGCGATGGGTATAGTGCGCGCGATCGAGGGAGGGTGGGAGGTCCCCTTAAAACTGGGCAGGACATATCATTTTCTTTCTTTACGCGGAATCAAGCAAATTAATTTATAACAACCCCATTAAACTTTTTGGAGATAATTTGGCGGTTTAAAATTTTAACGACGACAATATTTTCAATTTTCTCCGAAGATTTGGAGATTTGTAAATTAAAACAATTTATAAGTAACTAGTTTCTAACATTTTTGTACTAAATAGGTAAAAAATATGTCCATAAAAAAGTTGTGGCGAACGGAAAAATATTTTAATTGTTGTAGGTAATATTCTTTTTATTCTTTTCTTTCTGAATGTATAAATTAGTTACTGGCCTGGATAGTTCTACAGTTGGACCTCGAAAAAGTGCAATAGCGAAAATTTGTGCATTAAGTAATTACGAGTTCATTTATCATCAATCTTTCGAGATCTTTCGAGGTTGATCGGAATTTTAAATGTTAGATAAAATTTGACCAGTCAGCTACTAATAAATTGAAATATCAATATTATCACCAACGGAAGCATGCAGGTTAGTGTGTTTAAAAAATTACGCAACGACAGTAAACTTGACATTGGTACCGTCAGTGTAATTTAACGAATGTTTGGGAAGTTTTGGATCAGATCCAGGCGAGAAAAAGAACTATTAAATCTATTTTGAAGATCTAAACTGATAACGCTCGGACAATCCATAACAAATTAGGTACAACGGAAATTATCCAATTGGATAATTGAGTTGAAGATTTCCTCAATCCTGACGACGGCAAACTGTTTAAAGACGTTGAAATAGTATGTTTAGGCGACTCTTAGCACTTACGTTTTGTTTTAAAATAGAATAGAATAATTTTTATTCAATATAGATTATTACATAATACTTATTGAAAGTATTTTTTTTCATTTACCAATTTTTTTAAAGATTTGAATTCGATATCAATTACACATTAAAATTATTTACGAACGAATATTCCAGTTACTTATAGCTAAAACTTCAACGAATTATTATACAGGGTTATTTTGCAATAACCGACCAACTTTACACAGAAGGTTCAGAATAAATAATATAGGCAAATGGTGAAGAAAAACTAATTAAAAAAAATCTCAAACATTCTACCCTTTTTATCCTTTAAATTCAAAATACGTGGTAATAATGCTTAATTTTAACTGATTTTACTGCGAACGCACACATTCATAACGGTCGATGTGTAGGCAAAAATAATGTTGTTCATAAATCTCATTTAATTTGGGATAATTTCAAATGAAACTAAAAGCCTTATTTACTCGTATTTTCAAAAACTGCAATAACGGTGTACCATTATTTATATATTTGAAGTTAAGTTTAAAATTTGGATACTCTTTGAAAAATAACCCTGTGTAACTGTGATCATCATACATAAATCCCAATAAGTTCGCGCGTGAAATTGCAAATAGAAGTACTCCTAAAAAAATTTAAGCCTGCCATTTTTTTAATTCATTATATTTACTCTATATCTATCTAAACAAATAACTTATTTTAATCTAAGGTAGAAACAGAACACTGTTGTTTACTGGGGGCATTTGGCAAGCTGAACAGCAATTATCCATGGAATGTGATGACAGTCATCAATAACAGAATTAAATGATACTGGCCACCTCAACGAAACCATAGATCTGCAACGGCTAGCCAGACGCAAAGCATCAGCAAAGCCAAGGTTAGGTATAGGTAGGGCTGCGGTGCGGGCGCGGGGAGCCGGGGAGCTTCGGGCTTAACGTTCCGCGCTCCCGTTCCGACCATCCATTCTACACCTCGCAGTCGACTCCGACGGTTGTTCTAGTGCAAGGTAAGCGGTGGGCACTTTTAATTTTATTCTACCGTCAATAAGCATCTTGTCGAGCGCCACCGCCGTCATGCCGATTTTGCTTTAACGTCGTGTGACAACTGACAACTCAAATCTTTTCAATAGGTAGTGTTAAGATAACTTCAAGTGCTGTTCGATATGATATCGCGCTTCAAAAAACTTCAAGTGCTGCATTCAAACTTCGCTCGTGAAGGTAAACGGTAGTTCTTATCGGGGGTAGGTTTCCCTCCGAAAAGTTTTGAAGCGATTCCCGAAGGGCGGGAAGCCGGGAAGCGCGAACCGCGTGCGTGCTGCGTACCGTCGCGTGCCGCGCATCGATCGGGCCACCCCTCGCCCTTGCCACTCCCGGCACGGATACATTCATTTGGACAAATATCATTCCATCATTGCATTTAGTCCTCCGTTCATTTTATTTATTTGCAGTAGTTTTTATGTAATTTAGTGCATGTTTAGCGGCTAGTTTTTTGTAAGAAATAATTGTGAAAATGGGTGGCTGTGCAACTAAAGAAAACAAGGAAAACAAACCGGCTGACGAAGCCGACGGGTGCGTATGTCTCCAGACGGGCGTTTATCTTAATGATGCCTACCGCGGTGCTACCTATGTTATTTTTGCTTTTCATTTAGTTACCTACATTAAATCTCATACTAGATACATTATAGTTATTACCAAAAGTCATTCTCTTATTAGATAATAGACATAGATACCCAATATTTACAAATGAATTTGTAAGTACAGTTTGTTCTTTAAGAATATTTCTACTCTGTCGGTAAAATGCGTATTTCGGTATAATTTTGTGTTAATGAAGGGTAAATTATTAAAAATAATGTTCCTCAAAACAACGATGCATATTATTAAACACTGCACTTGTTTGTATAGGTTAAGACTAAAATACTGTTTACATTATTTTCTGCCGATTGATTTTGTCTAACACAATCTACTTTTTGATGAATTTAAAAGCATGAAAGTATTCACGCGTATTAATAACCTAGGTAGAGAAAGATAAGCCATTTAGGCATTCCATATCTTTAACAGATACATTGTAAACGAAATTAATATTGTCTTAATAAGCTTGTTTACTCTAATCGTTAGTAATGGTTATATTAATTTTACATCTATAGAACAAATCGAATAACCCAAAAATATCAAAGAAATTGATAATTGACTACACGTATTAAACTAATTATTTATTAAAAATTAGATTATTGGTACAACGTTTACGGAGCAATTTATTGAAAATATTTTACAATCGCATGATAAATAATGCAATTGTTTCAGTTGGTACGTAGAACGACAACTGTATACTGTAATCCGATGCGCTTATTATTGTGTATTCAACTATACGAAAGAATTGAAAGCAAAGAGGTAATAAGAAACTCGCGATAATACGTTGGTCCGGCGACGAGTGGGAGGGTTGCGCGACGCGAAGGAACACCGGTGCGCAGTGAGTGAGATATCCGCCCGACTTGCGCGCCAGCCCAGCGACCTCTACCTAAATTACGTAATCCCACTGAAAACCCAGTGTTCTAGGGTGTGTTTATAACAAATCCGTACAAGACGTTCGACAGTCACAACCGCTTTTCCATACGTAGTGTTAGATCCTTTCTCTAATCCTATAGCGTTATTAGACCTATAATCCATTGTCATGAATAATAAATTAAAATTTACTATTCCCATTGTGGTTTGCGGCGGCGCTGTACTTGCATATTACCTCATCAGGCGGTTTGTATTAATAATAATAAAGTAACATACAATTTTATTAATTTGTGTTAATACTTTCGTGCATAAATGAATTTAAAAATAGCAGCCAATTATTTTTTTTTTTATTTCTGGATTCGATTCCTTTTCCCTTACAATCATAGAATAAAAATATCAAGAATATTTTTATTTAAAAAAAAAAAGAGAATAATCTATTGGTCACGCGGATTTTAAATTTTTTGACATTTAACGTCACTTTAGTTTGGCTTGGGTATTTCGGTATCCATAATTATCGCCATTATTACAATTTTTTGTAATTACTAAAATAATAATAATGTGTACTCGAGCTACTTGTGCCGCGTTAAAAGCGTTAGATATTATATACTACCTTCTTTTTTGATACACCTGGTATTACGATTACATATTAACCATTTTTTGTTTTATAGAAAAGCCGCAGCAATGTGTGACGCCGCAACCCTCGAGAAATTGGAGGCTGGTTTCAGCAAGCTTCAGGGCTCTGACTCCAAGTCACTGCTGAAGAAGTACCTCACGAGGGAGGTGTTCGACGCTCTTAAGAACAAAAAGACCTCGTTCGGCTCAACCCTTTTGGACTGCATTCAGTCGGGTAAGTGAGATATTTTACCATGTTACTCTTACGATTTAAAGGATTTCAAAAATAAATTAAAGCAAATTAGTCTTTCATTAACTGTCACGTATTAATTGTTGTAGTTTTAAATAAATAATTATAAGCATAAATAATACAGTTAAGTACTTTGAAGTGTTACGTAACAATTCTTATGATATTAAACTTGAACGATATGCTGATATTATTAAGGCTGATTATTGGTAAACTGATATAACTATAGATAACGTTGGAAATGCTTAATTACGGAAAATTGATATCCCTATTGTCCATTGTTTGAAATCGGTCACTACGGATTATTTGATATCTCGTATCACGTTACAACACCTGTGGAAAATATTCCATATTATCATTTAATATAACACCTATTTATAATGTCTTTACAGGTATTGAGAATTTGGACTCTGGTGTTGGAATCTACGCCCCCGATGCTGAGGCATATACAGTGTTCGCGGACCTGTTCGACCCCATCATCGAGGACTACCACAATGGCTTCAAGAAGACTGACAAGCACCCGCCCAAGAACTGGGGCGATGTTGAGACTCTCGGCAACTTGGACCCCGCCGGCGAGTTCATCGTCTCCACCCGTGTACGTTGTGGCCGCTCTATGGAAGGTTACCCCTTCAACCCCTGCCTAACTGAAGCCCAGTACAAGGAGATGGAAGAGAAGGTTTCTTCCACCCTCTCTGGTCTCGAGGGCGAACTTAAGGGTACCTTCTACCCTCTCACTGGCATGTCGAAGGCTACCCAGCAGCAACTGATCGACGATCACTTCCTCTTCAAGGAGGGTGACCGTTTCCTGCAGGCCGCGAACGCGTGCCGATTCTGGCCCACCGGCCGTGGTATCTACCACAACGAGAACAAGACCTTCCTCGTTTGGTGCAATGAGGAGGACCACCTTCGTATCATCTCCATGCAGATGGGCGGTGACCTGAAACAGGTCTACAAGAGGCTAGTGACCGCCGTCAACGACATCGAGAAGAGGATCCCCTTCTCGCACAACGACCGCCTTGGTTTCCTGACCTTCTGCCCCACGAACCTGGGAACGACTGTCCGTGCGTCCGTGCACATTAAGCTGCCCAAGTTGGCCGCTGATAAGGCGAAGTTGGAGGAAGTGGCCAGCAAATACCACTTGCAGGTCCGCGGAACTCGTGGTGAGCACACTGAGGCTGAGGGTGGAGTGTACGACATCTCTAACAAGAGGCGCATGGGTCTCACCGAGTACGATGCCGTGAAAGAGATGTACGACGGCATCGCTGAACTGATCAAAATTGAAAAGTCCCTGTAATAAGCTTTCGATCTCGCGTTATCAGTATTCTTTTGTAATATTTATCGTTTATTATATCGATGTTGAGTGGGTGGTACGGCACTAGTCAACGCGCCGGTCGGGCCCGGGTGGCCCACTATACTGTTTTTTGAAAAAGTATTTTCTATAAGGAAATGGAAAATAAAGACATCTAGCATTAAGACCATACTGGCATATTTATTTAACTTACCCCTATCCTCACTTAGCATAGAAAATAACTGACATTAAACAGAAGTAAAAATTTAAATTTGATGAGTTTTCTAGAATATTTAAAAAATATGATAATATAATATACTCGTAAATAAAATACGAATACCACATTACTCTTTCATCTTAATGTAACTTATTCTGTGCTTAATTAAAATTAAAAAAGATTTATATTATATATATTTTTAAATTTAAAAAAGAATTAATCTACATACACATAAATAAAATGGAAGTGTCTGTAATATTGAAATAATTGCCTTTTATTGAGCTAAGGGGGTTGTTATTTACATACCATTAAGATATGAATTAATTTTCGGAATGGATGAAGCGATTGTAACGAAACTTGACGAACGGAAAGAGGGCAATACTAGAAGTGATTTATTCTATATTCTATCCGAAAAACTTAAGATTTTCTCTTTATGTGAAAACAAAATATTGTTAAATTAAATGCTGATTATCTTAAATATAACGCTACATTAATAGATCCTACCAAGGCAAAGTCGGGACAGGTCACTAGTCTGTCACATAGTTCTAATAGTTTTCCGTCCTACAGCTGGACATAAACCTCCTCACATTTCTGAAAGTTAGAGGTCAGCCTTGTGTCGGTGGGCTTCAAATATCTTTCAAAAATATTTATTTTCTCAGACATGCAGATTTCCTTATACCTTTCTTTTACCGCTGAGCACAAAAAATACTTAATAATTTAATTTCATTAACGCTGCGCCGACAAGGAAACTAGTATGAGAAATTAAAGATTAGCTGCGACAAGCCTCTGAACTATCACTGTTTTTTATGTCATAAACTCCGAAAACAACGAAAATGCGAAATCTCAACCATTTTTTTACAGAATAAGGGTGACAAACGAGCACACAGTTCACTTGATAGTAAGTGGATGCTGTGGCCCGTAGACTTCTACATTTATTCTCAATAAAGAATCAAATGGAATACGCGGCATTCCTGTAATTCCAGTAAAAAATTCATTTTGGGACTTGCAGGTGATCAATTAAGACTAACAAAAAACGCGACTTTTAGTAGGTTGAATTACACTTAGCTTGTCCCACAAAGTTGTCCCTCCGACAAAAGTGTGTCAACCATAGTCGAAATCAGATCGATCGATCAGAGTCAAGCTAATATTACTAAGGTATATAATATGATGTTACTAATTACTTATCGTACAATTATTTCGAATATCGTTTTCATGAATTAACGATAAAATATTCTTTTTTTATGTCCTGTAGTGTACAATACAATGTAGTTACATAAAGTTACACAAGAAATACATTTATTTAATTAATGGTGTGTTTATTAAACGTGGTTTATTTTATGAAAAACTAAAAGTGATGTCTCGCTTTTACATATATACTGGGTATTTGACACGATCTTCCCAAAAGCTATGGATAAATCATTTAATAACTGAGTTATTTAGGTGTAGTCAACGCGTATGTTTTTTATGTACATATGTTCACCGATTTCTCGGAAACGGCTGAAACGGTTTATATGATTCTTTTTGTAATTACTTTTAACTATTATTTATTCTGTGGTATTTAATAGGTTATACTTCATTAAAACATATTTTGATTTTATTGGATATGGGTGTAATTTGCCTGAATAAAGATGATTATTTATTAAGTATGGACGCGGTGACGGTTGCAAAAAAAATCCACCTCTAAGCGTAAAATAAATAGGGGATAAAGATTTTAATGTAACTTTATAGTAGACGGCACGACATTCTAGTTGTTGAACTGGCGATATTCTTTAGTCCAAAAGCGTCACAAAGTTAAACATTAAGAAAATTAAAACCAATTTCAAAAACTAAAAAGAATAAAATCATTTCCTCATAATAGGCCATTGAGTTATATGTACTACGTACTAGAGAAGCCATTCCAAACAAAAATTGTGCGCTACTCTGTCTTCGCGCATGCGCGGGAGTAGTAGTCGCGCATGCGCGAAGACTTTAATTTAATATAAAATAAGATATTAATATAAAATAAATATAAGAATTAAATATAAAATATCTTAATTTAATCTAAACAAACATATTTCTAAATAAAATGTAATAATAATTATTTTATGGAATTCATAAATCTTCAATTTACGCAATATTTAGTTTGTATGGATTGTACTACAGTTCAGTTGAACATAGTAAATGTTCGGAATGGCTTCTCTAGTACGTAGTACATATAACTAAATGTAATAGGCAGCTACTGAAGTTGGGGCAATAATCCTTCGGTACACTTACTTACTAAGTTTATCTAGATAAGTGCCATACCTGTCATTACGCGTAGAATTCTTATATAAATGAATACTGATGAATACTATAAATATTGCGGCTGATATGATACTAACAATACAATAAACTTGAGGTTAATCGGCTAAGCTTAGGCTTAGTTTTGAGCGAAGCTATAGTTTCCTTTTTCATGCTAAACCGTAGTAAATTTAAGTACCTACGTAGTACTATTATTTATTCTGTGACTTAAGTTTAATTGGAACCTATCGGCTAAAATATCAAAGCAAGTGAAAATGAAAGAAAAATAATAGAAGCTTTAAGATTTGAATTATTAATATGATTGTATTTTAGGGTAGAGTTCCGTTCTAGGGACACCTCCGATTTGGACCAAATTTTTTTACATGTTTACCAACATAAATGATGAAAATCCCCAAAGGGATTTTTGTCGCAAATAGCCCTGAAATTTTTTACGTGGGTTTGAACTTTTAGATTTTTAAGGCAGTTTTTTATGATAAATCGACTAAACCTCACTTTTTTTTACACAGGAATATTGACGTAAAGTTACTTACTATTATAATATACCTACTGTCTTTTATTTCTGAATTGTTTATAACTGCCCAGAAATACTTGAACACTCAGAAATACTTTCAGTTGTAATAGGTTAGAAGGTTATGGCGGGAGCGAAGGCTACCGGACTTTATAGATAAGATATCTGATCTGATCGAATCTATACTAAAATTGAATCAGCACGCCCCGACTCCACGTAGTCTTGTCTGCCCTACTCCTAGAGTGTTTTTGTAAAGCCGTAGGCGCGGAAGGGGAGCAGCCCCCGCCCGCCGTAGCAAGTCGTAGGCAATAAGCCGAAGCCGAGAAGGTGAACATGGGTGCCTGTGATTACAAGGGTGAAGAGGCTACACTTCCCGCAGCGCCGAAGCCGTTGTAGAAGTAACTTTGGGTCAATATTCCTGTGTAAAACCGTGAGGTTTAGTCGATTTATCACGAAAAACTGCCTTAATAATCTAAAAATACTAAACCTCGTAAAAATTTTCAGGGGCATTTGCGCCAAAAATCCCTTTGGTGTTTTTCATAATATATGTTGGTAAACATGTAAAAAATTTTGGTCCAAATCGGAGGTGTCCCTAGAACGGAACTGTATCCCTGCCAGTCTGTGTAATTATCGCCTGCTGAAGGAATTGCTTAAGCGCCATCTATTGGAAGTCATAAGATCCTTCTGGCATATCCCATAGTCACCTGTTACGACCAACTTTATACTCTCACGGAACGAAATGAAGTGGTTGATTTTCTTGGGACGCCATCTGACAGCAATTTTGATAATATTGTTTAATTGTATAATTATATAAGTAATAATGAATATTATATTTTACTGATATTTACTTCAAATTACAAAAAAAAAACATGTATTGGTATGCCTTTAAAAAAAGGCAAGTTTTATTAGCAGTATGGTAATGTAATAATGTAATATGACTATGTATTGTATTTAGCAATGTTGGGAGTAGTGGTGCTAGGATTAGTGGTGACGGTGATAGTGCACGCAATTGAGAGAGGGCGGGAGGTGCTCTTCAAACTAGGTAAGACATCATTTTATTTTATCGAGCGGATGTACGCGAGGTATCATTTTAAAAGGAAGAGGCCTATGTTCATTTTAGTTAACTTTTGCTAGGCTGACGATAATGAGTTCTACTTATCTTTGCAACCCTTAATATTTACGGTAGAGTGAAAACAAAAAAGTAACATACATGTTACTACTGGGCACACGCCGCAGAGAGTTTTTAGCCAAAAAAGTGTTCGCTGCACTGATTCCAACGCGGGATGACCTCAACTGGGAAACTTCTCAGATATGCAGGTTTTCCTTCATCGCCGAGAACGTAAATCAACACTTCCAATTGCAATTAAAATATATGCTGTAAATATATAATAACTCTTACGTACCATAAAATTTAAGTTTTAATCAGTTTGATTACCGCCTTTGGCAAGTAAAATAAAATGAACCTTTGTTTGTTTATTGAATCTTTGTTGCATGATTGTTGACCACAGTAATAACACATCCAACGATGCTACGAATGAATTTCCAATTATTTACATCGTATATTCAGAAGCATTCTATTCTTTAATTTTATCAGTGACTTACATTTTTAGTTTATTTAGAAGTAAGTAGATGGCGCTATTATTAGATGTAATAATGAAAGCCAAAACGATACTATCTAGTAATGTCAGCGATAGAAGGGAACATTTATTTATTATATCATTAAGGCATAAAGTGAAGTCAATTGTGTTAAAAGTTCTGTTTCTGTTATATACGATTTAAAGATATTGTCATATGACCATATCATGAAATAGAAACGTTATGTTTAGTTATTAATATTGTTACGAACTTGGGGTTCGAGACAATTAATAACTGCCGATTAAATTACCAAAATTGACACTTTAATTACGGATACTAATTACAATCTAAAAACACACTAATAATAAAACACAGTTCGCCGTTATTTCGCTTCGAAGTATTCTCTTGTATCGCCAATTCAATACT